TGACTGCATAGAGTCCTGGACCCTGCAGCTTGAAAATCATGCTGGGCGCACATGTGTGTGTGTATACCCAAAATTCCAAGAGGAAAATGGAGGAGAAGAGACCAAGTCATGGTCAATCCCTGGGAGGTGATCTCTCACTTTCCTTCTCTTTTTTTCTGGCGAGCACACACATCCTATAGCAAAAAAGCAAACAAACAAACAAAACAAAGCAAGGGGCTAGCAGTTGGCATACTGGTTAAGATGTTGGACTCCCACATGGCCAACTATGGTTCAAGTCCCAGACCTGGTGGCTTGAAACTAATGCCGGGAACAAATGTGTGTGTGCTCAAAATTCCAAGAAGAGACTGGAGAAGGGACTGTGGTGTGGCCATCCCCTCTAGGAGATGACTTTTCACTTTCTCTCTCTCTGGCTTTCTCTCTCTCTCTCCAGCAAATGCACCTACCCTACAGCAAAAATCTCTTTAAAGCACAAATCAAATAAAAGCAAAACAATCTTTCCCTCCTGCATGTACTTTCTCTCTCATTAACAACAACAAAAAAGCTTATTTTAAGATTTCAGTCCAAAATTCTCTTAGAAGAATAGTTTCATCTTATTTCACTTGAGCAATCAACCCCTATTTTTCCCATTTCCATCTCTCCCCCATCTGCAGCCCATAAATTAAAAGAATCTAAAACTCTCACACCAGCAGGAAACAGAAAACTAGCCAAGAGCAGGTAAAAGAGAAACAAAAGGCCTAATTACAGTGCCTTGTGAATAAATTCCCGTATTTTACTATCTGTTCATGAACCGCTTTAGTATTTTATACTGATAATTTATTTACCAAACTTGGGAGCTCTGTCGGCTGGCACCATTTATCTGACAGGAAGCAGGCCCAGGCGGGTTCCTTCCAACAAAGACCAGCTCAGTGGTGCATACGGTTGTGATGCTCTGACGGATAGCTTGGCCAGCCCCATATAAGGGAAAACTGATTGCGTACTGGTAAAACAGCTATTTCCCCAATTTTGAGGTAAAAACACAGTATACAATTCAAGTTAAAATTAAGCTAATTGTGATCTATTTGCGTTTTTTCCTTCTGCTGGGTAAACTGCCGCTTAAAATATTTGAAAACCTTGGTCTGTTGGAGAACTACGAATGACAAGACTGCCTTGTCCCACAAAGGCCCATCCTTTCAAGCATCCTGTTTCTTTAGGAACGTATCCAATCACTTCTCATTGACTCCTAGAAGGATTCCTTCTAGGAATCTAAACCTTTCATTATGTATAGATATTTTTACTGTTCCCTTAAGAAACCAGTATTTTCTAACAACTGTTTAACATTCATCTTCTTTTTAATTTCTATTTATATTGTTTTAAAAAATTTCATCCAGGCCTGAAAAACAAACAAACAAAACCTTTAGTAATTAATAGCTTGACACAAGGTCAGCTGTTTAAGATTTCAGATACTCAATATCATTCTGTGCTTTTCACTGCCTTCTTACATTTGGGGGAGAACAGTTAAACTAAAATTTTAAAATGCTGGGATTCTTTTGGATTCATTATTAAAATAACACTGGAAGAGGAGAGTTATATAAAGGAAAGAAGAGGCTATAATGGCAGAATTTAGGCCTTCACTGATAAAGCGGATAAGAATTAGAGCTTCCAAAAGTCTGTCCTGAAAATGAGGCCAAATCCTTTGCTCTTTTGCTCTTTATCAACATGAAACTACCCAAGTCCGCAGTTATTTTCCTACTTTATGATAAAAGATAACTTCTGGGGTGACTGGACTGTTTCTAAACAGACTGAAGTAAAAGTGCTTATTGCTCAAACAGGGATGATTTCTACAAAGTCCAACTGAGGTTAAGGATTATTTTTATTTTGTCCCACACTTCCTGAACTCAAAAGTGATCTTACCGAGGGTCGTAGAGGTAGAAAACCTTGCGAGGTCTCTGGGATCCTTATGCTAATTTTCTCTTTCTCTGATCCTTTTTCCATGCTTGCATTACCAGGGAGATGTTCTGGCTTAATGTAAATGTCCCTTATAAAAATTTACAAAAACAACTTAGCCCCAGAAAAAATACATATATAAAAATAACATCCAATTTGGTAAGAAGGCGAGTGATTCACTCACTCCCATACTTTCTTAAATTGATGTAATCTTTATGGGGAGCAATTTGGCCATGTTTTTCCATTCAAAGAAAGTCGACTCTTCTATTTCTAGCCTTCTCTCTATTATCTGCATATGTTAGGCAGCAGATCATTTAACTGCTCTTAGTATGTTTCTGTATTTTTTTTAAGAGGTTTTTGCTATAGGGCACGTGTGCTCGCCAGGAAGACAGAGAGAGACAGAGAGACAGAAGGTGAGAAATCATCCCCCCAGGGGGATGGCCACACCACAGTCCTTTCTCCTCCATTCTCCTCTCGGGATCTTGGGCATGCACACACACACACCTGGCATGAGTTTAAGCCACCGGGTCCGGGACTCGAACAGTGGTTGGCTATGTGGGAGTCCAGCAACATAGCCATTATGCCAACTGCTGTTCCCTATGTCTGTATTTTCTAAATAGACTAAAAAAAACTCACATATATTCCTTTGGTAATCAAAAAGAAAACTCAGTAAATATAAAACATACCTTATCCCAAATAACTTGCATTCAAGTGTTAAGTGTTAAATGTAGAGACCACCTCAGCAACCAGTTTTGTTTGTTTTCCTTTTTATTGTGGAAAACTCAGTATAGATTAACAGCAGTTTTTCCGATGACCTAGGGTTTGAGGATATAAAAACCTGTGACCACTTTTGTGGCTTCTACTTTCACAGGAGGACCTAAACAGAGCTTTAAATCACAATGATTTGCTGTCCCTGTGGCCTGTTCCTTCACGGTTCCACAGACTTGCATGGGATATGTGAGTCAATACTAATGTGGTAGCTATAGCTCTTCCTTAAGGACATTTAGGATCCCATTATCTGATGAGAGCTTCTTTTCCTCCATTTTATAGCAGGAGACATTATCTAAATTCTCTTGGCTCACACAGTGGTAGCCTTGGAAACAGAAAGCAAGTTTTAATAGATTTTTTTTAGCCAAACCACATGCTTTTTCTTAATCTATTTACAGTACTGTTTCAAGATGTTTTCTAAAGGGCCCACAGGAGCTACATTTAAAACCTTCTGGTCATTGTTTGCTAACTGCTCTGATGGTTTCAATCAGGGAAGAAGCCAATATTTTCAGCTTGGGTGTTGGAAGAGCTCCTAAAATGTCTCCAAACTGATTTAGGAGAAACTGCTGAACAGAAGAGAACTTATTCCTGTCCTGGAATAAACTCATTAAAACTGACATATGTTGTAACCACAGACGAAGAGAGTCACATTCTTCGAACACACTGCATCCCAAAGGCAAACGAAATTTCTAAATATTATCAGTGTCCCCCTCTAACTAGACTGTAAGGTTCTGTGGCCAGGATCCAAATTTGCATTATTTAACCTTTGTATCTCAGAACTCAATGTCATGCCTCATTCATATTAAATATAAATACAACACCCACCCCCAAAAAAAGAAAAAACAAAACAGTGTCAGATAATGAAACATCTTCAACAAAGAACCACAGTCTCAATGCACTGATAGAGAGCCTCGTCCTCTTAGAACACTCCTGGTGTTTTATAACTTCTTTACTAGGACCTACTTTCTTTTTTTTAAGAATTGTTTTATTTAAGTTTGTTTGTTTGTTTTAATTTGACCAGAGACAGAAAGAGAGGGGGAAAGTGAGAAAGCAAGCTGCCAGATCTGGGACTCAAATCATAGTTGGCCATGTGGAAGTTCAATGCCACCATGACACCTGCTGGCCCGGACCTAGTTTTTATTACTTTTTTTTTTTTAAAGAAATTTCTTGAAAAGGTTGTATATGATGAATCAGGTAAATTTTTCTGAGATATGGGACCAGCAGTTAGCGTAATGGCTAATGTCGCTGGACTACCATGTAATCAACTACAGTACGAGTCCCGGACCTGGCGGCTTAAACTCATGCCGGGTGCGTGTGTGTGCGTGCCCAAGATCCCGAGAGGAGAATGGAGGAGAAGGGATTGTGGTGTGGCCAGACCTCCTGGGGGGTGATTTCTCGCTTTCTGAATATTTTTAGCAAAAATATAATTATTTATTTATTTATTTTGTTTTATGATTTCTTATTTATGATAAATTATAAATGTCAAGAGCAAACAATAGAGTTTTTCAAAGTATGCATAAATAAATTTTTTGAGATAAAAGACTTGCTATCATCTCAATTTTCCCATCATGACAATTCTGATTTGAGGCAAGTGAAGGGAGTTCTTTTGTTAGGAGGTCTGTTTAGTTCTAGGTTCCAGAAAAGCCTGAGTATCTCAGTAGCACAGATCCAACCAGATCCCCTAGATTCAGGCAACACTAATCCAATATCTGAATCAGTTCCAGAGCATCTCAGATTTACCAGGCCGAGTAAATCTCATCTAAGGTAGGCAGGCTCCTCTAGACCTCAATTCAGGACATGACACTTTGGCTAACCCTGTATGTGCATGACTAAAATATTTTCTTCCTCTTTTCTAATTCTTGCAGTATTTATCATGTATAAATTCCTAAAATCCCACCCACAAACAAACAGTAAAGGTTTCCAAAGCTAACTCTACCCATTTCAGTCCTACTGAACAGAGAACTCTGGGGTTAGGGCCCTGGAAGCCTGACTTTCTTTTTTTTTAATTTAAATGTTTTTAGAAGTGCCCTGAATAATCTTTAGGCATGCTGGAGTATGAGTGAAGTACTGGAACAACTATAAGAGTGAATAAGAGAGAGGAAAAAAGAAATCGCAGCAAAAGGCAGGCAAGATTTGAATTTGAAGATTTAATGCCAATGTGAAAAAAAGATTAAAAAAAAAAAAAAGGGCAGTGAAGAGAGATCACGAACACCTTTGTAGGCATGCTGGAGTATGAGTGAAGTACTGGAACAACTATAAGAGTGAATAAGAGAGAGGAAAAAAGAAATCGCAGCAAAAGGCAGGCAAGATTTGAATTTGAAGATTTAATGCCAATGTGAAAAAAAGATTAAAAAAAAAAAAAAGGTCAGTGAAGAGAGATCACGAACACCTTTGTTTCAACAATGCCGACTCCTTTCTACATCATCTTTGTTAGGCTGGCTGTGTCAGTGTGCTGATACTTTCTTCTACCTCTGAGAGCTTCTTCAGGATTTGGTTGACCTTGACCTCATCACATTCCAAACACAGAAATTCAGATTCCTGGAAAACATAAAAAAAATGTTTTAGAGAGACTCCCCTAAGATAGCCAAGACTCTACATGTGAAATGACCAAGCTCTAAAGGCCTAAGGTCCCAACCCAGCAAGTTCAGGCCTTAAAACCTAAGTGATGGGATCAGTAGGTGGCATGGTGGTTGAGGCATGAGGCTCCCACACTCCCTCATGGCCGGCTGTGGTGTGCGTCCTGGATCAGGCAGCTTACTTTCTCACTTTCTCACTCTTCCTCGCTCTCTGGTGAGCACATGTGTCCCATAGCAAATTACAAATAAAATTGTAATAAAAATTCTTAAAAAATGCAAACTGATATTTTACTCAGCAAAGCAAATCCACACAAATTTCTTTAAATGATGGTGTTTTTAAGATGGCATTTCATAAATAATAAAGAGGTATGCAAATGTCAGGTGTTCTCACAATGAAGCACATGAAAAGCTCCTCCTAGCAGTTATCTCATCTGATCCTATAATTTTTTATTTTTTTAGGCTTTTGCCATAGGGCATACTTGCCAAAAAGAGAAAGAGAAAGGGAAAGTGAGAAATCACTCCACCCCCCCCAAGAAGAAAGGTCATGTCGCAATACCTTCTTCTCCATTCTCCTCTCGGGATTTGGGGCGCATGCACATATGTGCCTGGCATGATTTTCAATCTGCCAGGCCAGGACTTGAATGGCAATAGGCCATATGAGAGGTCAATGCCTTAACACTATGCCACCTGCTGGCCTCTGAGCCTATAATAATTTATAAAGTAAGTACTTCAGTATTGCTGTTTTAGAGATTAAGACTCTAGGGCACAGAAAAAGTGGCTGGTCTTGTAGTGCAGTAGTTAATAACTATGGAGAGGACACTGGATCCCATATGGCCAACTAGGGCTTAAGTTCTTTCCCTGTTGGCTTAACAACCTACTGGCTGTATGTGGACATGGCTAAGATCCTAATGAGATGAAGAATGAAGGAAAAAGAATTGCAGCATGACCAGGCCCTATTAGTGGGTGCTTTTCTCTCTTTCTCTGTCTCTGGTGCATGTGCACACACACTCTCTGACACAAAAGAAAATTCAGAAAAACGCAGTCAGATTGTGAACTCCCAGCTCTGGCTAACTCCAAAGTCCATGCTGTTGCCAAAGCATCTTGTAGTATAACAATAAAATGAGAATTCTGACTGGATCTAAGTTAGCCTAAAAATTGGACTAACTTGAATACAGTGGTTATGCCAGAAACTGACCAGTTGCTTTGGAAACATCAGAAGATAGATTTTTTAGAGGTTTTTGCCTTAGGGCATGTGTGCTTGCTGGACAGAGAGAGAAAGAGAGAAACAGAGCCAGTGAGAAGAAAAGTGAGATATCACCCTTCCCCACCACCAGGGCTATGGCCATGCTGCAATCCCTTCTCCTCCATTTTCCTTTCTAGGATCTTGGGCGTGGATGCACACACGCCTGGTCTGAGTTTCAAGCCACTGGGTCCTGGACTCAACCACAGCCAGCCATGTGGGAATCCAGTGACATAAGCATTACACCATCTGCTGTCCTCCATCAGCAGGTAATTAAAAGATAACCAGAATCTTGAAATAACAACAAACATTTCTAGGGTCTTTCTATTAGATACAAGCCAACACTCCCAAGATCTCCTTCAAATAAATGACCTTCACTCACTGTCTAGACTGGCCAATCAATCCTCAGATAGGTAGATATCAGGTAGATAGATATATTTGGAGTGTGGTGACAGAAATTTCATATACATTAGACAAATCTGAGGTCTGCATTGTCTCAAGACAATCATATGTATCTAAGAGCAACTCTATCCAAGATCTTAAAGAACAAAAATCAAGTAATTTTAGAGCAGTATGAATTCTTAGAGATCATATAATTCAATTGCCTTGTTTTCTTTTATTACTTTTTTTATCGCCAGAGGGCATGTGCACTTGCCAGAGAGACAGAGAAGGAAGAGAAAGAAAGAAATAAAACACTCCCAGTGGCGCACGATCACACTGTAGTTCCTTTTCCTCCATTCCTCCTTCCCGTAAGGATTTTGAGCATATGTGCACACATATCTGTTTTGCAAGACACCAGGGCCAGGATTCAAATCATAGTCAGCCAAGTGGGATGTGGCTCCCTTAACCACTGAGCCCTGCCTTGTTTTTCTAGATAATAAAATTCAGGTCCCAGGCATGTAAATGATACACCTAAAGGCCCTGTTTGTTCAGTCAGCAGGTCAATGCCATTTTCTCAACACTTTCTTCTCTAAATGCTGATGGGAATCAGAATATGCTACCACAAAATATGCCACTTGGCACAAGTATTATTTTAAACTGAAGATACCTGAGAATAGATGAAGAAAGAAATGTTCTTAGAGCTTCTCTTGCCTGAATAAAAGCAGAACTTCTGAGAAATGAGGACTGCCATATATCCCTTTTCTCTGGGGGTTTTATGGCCATGAAGATGGAAAGTCAGCACAAACAAACCTTACTAAAATAATCCTTATCTACCATAATTTGACTATAAACTTACCTTCCCATAAATTACCACTCTTAAAAGCCCACACCCCTTGGGAACCAGCAGTTAGCGTAATGGCTATGTTGCTGGATTCTCACGTAGTCGACCGCGGTTCATGTCCCAGATCCGGTGGCTTAAAACTCACACCGGGCACGTGTGCGTGTGTGTGTGTGCCCAAGATCCCGAGAGGAAAACGGAGGAGAAGGGATTGAGGCGTGACCATCCCCCCCTGGGGGTGATTTCTCACTTTCTGTCTCTGTCTCTCTCTGTCTGTCTGGCGGCTCTATAGCAAAAACCCCTCCAAAAAAAAAAAAAAAAAAAAGCCCACACCCCTTACCCTTTGTTTAGTTACTTTCCCACAATTTAACATCCTTTATTAAAACGGTATATAGGTTGAGTATGTCTTGGAATCCAAAATATTTGGGACAAGAAGTCCTTGGGAGTTTGTATTCTTTCTTTCTGTTTTGCTAAAGGGTGCATGTGCTCACCGGGGGCAGAGAGAGAGAGAGAGAGAGAGAGAGAGAGAGAGAGAGAAAGTAGGTGATGATCACACTTAAATCCCTCTCTTTCATTTCTCCTTTTGGGATTTTGGGCACACATGCATACATACCTGGCATGTTTTTCAAGTCACTGGGTGCAGGACATGAACCATGTAGTTGGCCATGTGGGATCCAGCTGCCTTAACTACCACACTATCAGCTGGCCCATTGGATTCTTCTTTAGGTTTTCAAATATTTGCATATGCATAATGAGATATCTTGGGGATGACTCAAGTCTAAATGTGAAATTCATTATGCTCATATATATCTTACATATATAGCCTGAAGGTAACCTTACATAATATTCTTACATTATAATGTTTTGATGTCAATCCATCAGCTGAGGTTAGGTGTGGAATTCTCCACTCGAGGGATAATGTAAGCCCCCCAAAAGCTTTGGACTTTGAAGTATTTTGGGTTTCAGATTTTCAGATCAGGAATGCTCAACTTGTGTAAGGTTTCAAGTCTAATGGCTTCTGGAAGTTTTCACATTTTTATGAAACCCCTGTTCATGTAAAATTAAAAATATTAATTTAAAAATATTTATAAACTTTTTCTCCCATTAGTCTTTTCTCAATTTGGAATCAGCAGATGGCATAATGGTTATGTTGATGAACTCCCACATAGTCGACAGTGGTTCGAGTCCTGGACCTAGTAGTTTAAAACTCACACCAGGTGTGTGTGCGTCCATGTCCAAGATCCTGAGAGGAAAATGGAGGAAAAGGAATTGTGGCATCGCTATCCCCCGAGGTGATTTCTCACTTTCTGTCTCTCTGGTGAGCAAATACTCACTATAGCAAAAATATCTCTTTAAAATGAAAAAAAAATCTGTTCTCAGTTTAATTCATAGGCCTTATACTCAGAACTTAAGAGATAAAAAGGAACATTTTCTTCTCAGATTATGGCATTCCCTACCCTGCCCCCAAAGTGGCAAGCAAAGACTAACAAGCCTCTTTGGAGGGAGGGTCACTCTGCCATCAGTCAGCTAGAACAAGAGAGGGTCACTCTGCCATCAGTCAGCTAGAACA